ATTGAAGGCAAAGATTGCAAATAATAATATTCTATAATCAAGAGAGTCTTTAAAGATGACTATACTAAGTGTAGATTAGCAATAATCAGACAGTTATCAGGGAAGACAAAATTAAGTAATTCTGACAATGAATGATTATCTTCTTTAACAGATGCAAATTTTTTAAAAAAATGTTATATTAATCATTTAAAAGATCATTTTCTTGTACATCATACTAAACAAGAAAATCGATAATTTTTTTCCAGGCCACAAGACGTGAGAGACATCAGCAGAGATCAAGATCGACGAATTCTGCCATAGGAAGGTCCAAATCATGGCGGCCGTCTTTACAGAGCATTTCAGAGTCTTGAATCTGATAAAAGTCAAAACGAAAAATTTGCCTGTCGGAAAATTCGGAAAACATCGATTAATAATTCCTTTTGTGTATATAGCATCAACAGAAAAGATTGGCAAAGTAGAGTCTCCCTCTCTCTCTCTCTATCTCTCTCTCTCTTGAGTCTTGACCGATACAGTTTTTCAAGTGAAATTTCAATATCCGAAACACATATTTCCTCCACATTATCAAATGGATGAAATAAACTGAAGAAAATATGTTTACATCATTTGCGTAATTTGGAGTTCCAATCCTCCCAATCTTGATCGACGTGATTTTGGGCCCACAATAACGAAGCTCGAGTAGCTAAAGGTGCTCCAGGGAGATTTTTCTCGTTTAGTGCTATCATCATATTGGAGAAAGGCTCGATCACTAATGTTCCAGGTCCTCCATAATCTTTATGCATGAATTCACTGAATATCTGATATCACAAAAGCAAGTCGAGTGTTAATAAACCGGCCGGATTTCATACAAATTAATGTCCGTTCAACTATTTTGTTTACCAGTTTAAAAGTACCGAGCATTTTAGATGTTTTTCGATTAAAATGCCAGAGCAGAAAAGGTCAAACACAAGATGTTTCCGTAGTCATATAGATGTATTTCTTTTAGAGTCACCAATTTTACAGTATTATGAAATCGGCAAGACGATGAGCAGACGATCCACCAATTGGTTTGAAACTAACCAAATCGGCAAGAACATTTCATCTAAAGCATAAATACATGAACGAAACTTCATCATGCAGCCATATGACGCAACGTTCATTTGAATTAAAATTCCATCTGGAAATCTACTATTACAATTTAACCAAAATTCCATAAAAATCCATACCTGAATACAATAGTAAAGCATACAGCTCACAAATGGTAAATATATAAATAAATTAATTATTTAATTAATTAATTAATTAACAGATAAACCATAGATATTACCTCTGCACACACACTAACCACCGTTCGAATATCACTACCGAATGTTTCCTTCTCCTTTGAAAGTTCCTTCAGCAATTCAACTTTGAATCTCTGCGTCTCCTTTAATTATTTTCAAATAAAACAAAATATAAATTAATTAATGGAAACAAAATTATTATTGTAAACAATCCAAACCTAAATTGGGGAAAAAATTCACATAGCGGCTTACAACTGCTGCAAAATCAGGAGCTGGACCAGGGTAGACGAACTTCTGACCTAGGACTGAATTCGGAGCTTTCGGAGAAATTCTCGCCGTGAAAAATGTCGGTGGCGCGTGCTGTACGAAGAAGGCGGTGCGCAGGATAGAGCCGCCGGAGATTGAGGTTTGGGCGGGAATCGCCGTTGGTGGGAAGAGGATTGGGTTGCAGAGTGACGCCATTTGGTTAGCTAATGTGCGCCGGACTTGGTGAGATATGTATTTAGTATTTACTCAACCACTGGATTGGGCCTATTTATAATAAATATAAGTTCCTTTAATTATTTGGGCCAATATTTACTATATATAAATTAATTAATTGGATCGGATTTCACCTAAGGCCCATTATTATTTTTAATTTCAATTTCTAGAGATAAAAAATAATATTATATCACTAATTGGCGGTTATGCCCAAAAAGTATTTGCTACGGTTACTTACTAATATTGTATAATAAAATAAAAAAAAAGGAAACAGAGCCGATCCTGACATTTTTCGGGTCCTAAATGAATTTCAAAGATACAGCCCTCGTTTGTTTTAATATTATTTAATTTAGATTTTTTTAATAAATTTATTGTTTAATTTAATATATATATTAAAAAAATTATTATTTGGGGTAATTCGATTTCATACAGTGATAAAACAGCAAAAAAAATGTGCACAAATTGGTGGTACTAAACCTAAAGTGTACTATAAGTCGTTACGTACGTATGTGAATGTGTACTTAGGTAAAATAATTGAATGGGGCATACATAATTCATAATGCAACTGTGTAGTCAATGTTTGGCATCTGCAGCAAGAGGCCAGTTATCTCTGTGTACCGGTCCAACTATTCAGAAGTTCAGTACATGGACCGACCAAACATGGCCTTAATAATTAATGATGCAAACTTGGAAACGTTAGTTTTGTGTGTCTGAAATCTAGTGAAGACGAGACAGTTAATGGGGTCAGCTTACTGATTAATTAATTAATTAATTAATTAATTAAACGAGTCTTTTATTGCCTGAGGGGCCAATATTGTAATTATTTAATAAATAATTAGAAGTTTTTTTTTGAATATTCAATATTATTTAAATAAAAACAAATGGCAAGGCTACAAATTCTTCAATTGTACAATTCACATGCATTTGTGCAGACCCCCGGGAATATGGGGTCGGATAAATTTATTGATGCTTGATTTTATTAAAAAAACAAATTACAAATAAATAAATAAATAAAATAAGAATCATACAAAATTATTGACAAACATGCAGACGTATATATATAATGCTATTAATTATCTGCATTTTTTACTCATGCAATATAAATTTCTGATAATCTTCACAATACATGATTCGGAGCTGTGGCGAAACTTTTCGCCCAGATATTATTGAACGTGATTCGTTGAATCAATTCGTGGCAACTCATAATTTCATCCTGCAAATTAATTAAAATGAATTTATATATATATATTAACATAATCTAATTTAGTAATTTAAAGTGATTTTATTTAATTTAATTCTTACTTTGTTTATTAGTCCATCACACCATGACTCAGTATGTTGACCAGCAGTAATGGAAGAAAACTTTGGCAGATAATTTGCTGCACAAATTATTACAGCAGCAGCTAAGCAAGATGGCCTACACTCAAGGAAGCTTCTCTCTGTTTATAAATAAAATTAAAATTAAAAATATAATAAAATATGATGACGTGTCTCCAAAATAATCAAAATAGTACCTTGATTGGTTGAGAGAATAATTTCAGTTGCCCTTGATGAAATGAAATCCGTATAATTTCCGGTTGGATCAATTTTGTGCGCGAAGAATCTGAGATAACAAAATGGAGTAATCGAACGTAGTTTCCAGTCCAAGACTCTTAGAACAAGAAGTTCCATTCTTTGGATAGTTCTTGCTTCAAAAATAAATTTTGCATCTTCAACCTAATAATAATTATAATTAATTAAAAAAATCATATATACACTTTAATTAATAATTAAATATTATTAATTATATATACTTGAAGATTGAAAAGAAGAGGAACAAGGGGCTCCTCCATTTTAGCAGCCAAAGACAAGCATGCTACGGATAATAGTTGCAGTGGCCATCCATTTATTGTCTGCAATAAAAATTAAATAATTGTGACATTATATTTAATATTAAAACAAAACATTTAAAACGAATTAGTTGTATTAATTAATACAATTAAAGATACTGAATGTTAAATGTCGTTTCAATTTTACTAACGTCGTTTTGACTTCGAACCTGATTTTGACATATTTCTATTTTGATTTTGGCAAAATTCGAAACACGAAAACTGTAGTCATTTGGGTTAGCTTTCTATCCAACTTAAATCCGCTAGATTGGATGTCGTGTGACAAAGTTATTCATGAATGAGTCACATTTTGAATTTTAGATACCTCAATATATACATCAAAGTTGTGGGCAGTATCCATTGATTCATGTATATCTTTCTTGTCCGACATCCAATTTTGGTGATTCAAGTTGGATTAGAAAACTAACTCAGAATACTACAAATTCTATTTTTCGGGTTCTGCAAAATTTGGAATTAAAAATGATCAAAATCACGTTTGAAGTCGTAACGGTATTATTAAAGCTCGAACGACATTTATCACATCTCATGAAGATATGTATAATATAGTATTTTATTTGTAAGCGTGCTACATTTATTAAAAATCGTTAATAATTCATTTGATCATACAACTACCACCCTTTATTGTAACACCAAATATTTAAATTATATTTAATGAACTTTAATTAAGTGGGTAAAGTGAACGTCTATGAAATGATTAATAAATGGAAAATAAAATGTTAAATGACAGACGATTTAACGAGTAGTTGACGGTGACGGGGGAATCTTACTTACAGGCAAGTGATGTGAGTGAAGGAAACGATCAAAGTAGTTGACGGAGAGATACGCTGTTAGTGGCTGAAAACCGTAATATCGTTGCACCTGCACAATAGAAAGAAAGCAGCCACTCTAGCTAATTTGCGCCTGTGTTTTTATATCTGAAGTAATTATCTAACTTGCGCAGAGAGGAATATACCTTGAGAATCCATGCAACAGATTCCGTTCTTACAGACGCGTCGATCGGCCGGCGTTGATGATGATCGGAGCGAGAACTACTGATTCGGAACAGATCTCTCTCGTCTTCTAAAAGTCCGGCAATGGCTTCCTCCACGTCCGGCGGCCGGGATTCGAGGTCCGATGAATATTCAGGCGAGTAGTCTCCTCCGGCGGAGAGGATAATATTATTGGAGGCCTCGCCGGAGAGAAGGTCGGAGAAGCAATCCGATGAGCACGAAAATGACATGTCGAATTTGACCGCGCGCCAACCGTTCACCTCCTCATTCTCTTCCGATCATCATTATTCATGTATAGTTCGGATTGGCCGGAGTTTGGCCGGAATATACGCCGGTAAAACTGGAGTGAAGAGAGAGTGTACGAATCAGAGTGGGAATGGGGACTGTAGGTTTTGTTCTGTTTAGGTTCACTTCTCTACACGTTGCGCTCTCTCTCTCTCTCTCTCTCTCTCTCTCTCTCTCTCTCTCTATATATATATATATATATATATATATATATATATATATATATACACGGGTATTTATTTATTTATATAAAAAAAAATAGTTTTAGTTTTTTATTTTTTTTTATTTGTTTATAGTTTTGTATGTTAGTAGCCATAATTTCAAATCTTTAATTATTGGTAAACCTAGAATTAATAAATGCAGATTACATAAGGATTGCTATGTGTCAATGGAAGTAGACAAGGCCATGGGTCGGGTCCGACCGTCCGAGTCCAACTTTTACGGGACCCAAAACCAACCCGTGGAGAGGCGGGTCCACTCGGGTTCCCAGGTCCAGGCCGGGTCAAAACCGGTTTTTGAATTTATTTTTTTGAACTATTTTTACATATATCAAAAAAAAAATGAAAAAAGATGAACTAAATTTAAAGGACTTTGAGTTATATAAGCCCACAACAATTGATGTCATCCAATAAATAATCTTGTATTAATTTAAATAAATCAAACCAAAGAAAAGAAAGACTGAAAGAGTTGAGCTTAAGAAGCAAATAAATTAAAATAAGCAAATAAAAACTATCAGCAGAGACTAATAGTTGGAGTACTCACAGAGGAGTATTTCTCCATTTGAATGCAAATCGAAATTCCAACCCCGATTTAAGGTCCGACAAAGTTAACGGACGCCATTCTTCTCGAATGTCCACTCTCGTCTCGAAGCTTACTTCCTCCAAATCTCGAAACAACAACTGCATGTGCTCGTTTCCACTTTCTCTCTTCATTAGAAACTTCCGTAGAAACCTCACCGATTTTATCTCGTATCCGTAAATGTTTCTTGGACGACAAATAAAAAACATATAAACTACAAGACGAGAATCCATCTTCAAGCTCTCAACAATAGGTCTATTATCAACATTCTCTCCTACCGTAACGTGTTTGTTTATCCTGCCGTGTTGATCGATTGCCAGAGAAATCTCGGAGTGGCGTAATGAATTGAGCAGTTCATGTAGCTCGAGGAACCACGTCAAACCGTTATAGTCTAGGTATATCTCCGACTTCCACTCGCTGGAAGTTTCTGCAAAAGAGATGGTCGGGACTTTGAGCCCGTGATATGCAAAATACAGTATGTTTGGGGCGTTAATAAATAGCTTGGTTTTTTCGATTCCGGGGCAATGGTATATAGTCAAGCGTTTGAGACATGGGAATATAGTCGACGAAAAGCGGTCCCACGGCGATGATCTCACGTACTGCATACATAAAGAATCGAGGTTACGAAAATCAGCTCCTTTGTGGTACGAAAAATTACTAAAGCAAAGTTGGACGGTCTCGAGAGATGGTGGTGGGAGTTCGAAGCTACAATGCTGGTCGTTCTCTCTCTCGTACAGCTGCAAAAACAAGTACTTGAGATTGTGAAGATGATTCAAATTAACTGCGCGTACCCTCCAAGAATTTCCTTCGACTTTTAGGTTTTCGACCAAAGGACAACCTAGGGTTATCTTCTGCAAGATCTCGTCTTCGATGTAGACATGTTCGAGACGGAGTGATGTTAAATGCTTCCACGGTAGTATCCTTTCCATAGTCTCTCTGTCCAAAACGAAGTTATCCAAATGCAAATCTTGGAGTGATTCGGCTCCAAAGACTACGGGTGGCAGTTTAAGAGGTTGTGCACGATATACATGTGCACGATCCGTGTACGCGGAAAGCCGGAACTTCTTCAGACCTATAACTGTGAGTAACGGAACCCACTTTTTAAGGTAAGAACCCGATGTGTGATCGAGATCCGGATCGTCTAGAGATATTGAAAGGTGAAATTCGTCCAAGGACAGCCTCTCGTCACACTGTCGACGTAAGATATTGTCGACAACGGAGAGAAATTCGAGTTTGTCTCCTCTGAAGTTGTCGAATGATAAATCAAGATTGGTGCGGATACACCAATTATAACGCCACGATTTAGACAAGACAGATGTTTGGACAGCCTCTTTTTGGGAAAGAAAATTCAGTATTTGCTGTAAGATGTCTCGTGGCAACTCGGATATCCTGTCCATGGAGTCTCGGCTGAATGTCGAAAATCTTCTGCCATCAAAAACAAATTGAGAATATTTAGATTTCTTTTTTTTTTGAGTATAACACAAAAAGAAAGCCATGATAATTAGTCAGATAGGTTCATAAATCAATTTTTAAACAATATATAAATTCCAAAACATATATCAGTATATATATCTTGGCATGATAGATTTGCAATCATTGTTGTGATGGAACATGAAAACAAAAACTGGGTTTTTCGTAAAAATGAAAATTTTCTTACAAAAATACATTTTCAAGCAATACAAACTTACACGAAGAAAAAAATAAAAAGTAATTATTATGATGGAGAATTAAAAAAAGTGAAGAAAGCAGTAAGAATTTTATAACCTTAAACTCCCGATCGTCTAGGAGAAGAATATTTCAACCCTAATTGAATTTGTCAATTTAGAAAGCCCCTTATATTTCGATTTGGTTATTGTACCGTTGGATCTAAGTCTGATTTTTTTTTTAGTAATTAATTAAATAGGGAAGGGTGGTTTTTGTAATTTTCAGACTTAGAGGATGTTTGGTTAAGTTTATTTTAAACAGCTGATAAGCTCTTATGTCTGATAAGATGTTTTAAGAGCTGATAAGCTGTTACATCTTATTTTTATAGGATTAATTTCGAGAGTGTTTAGATAATGAGTTTATTTTCTATTTTTACTCATTATAAGATCTTAAATAAAAATGTGTGGTAGATGTACTTATTTAAAAAGATCTTATTTGCTCTCAAACAGCTTATTTTAAAAAAAATAAAGATATTTTTATAAAAATTTACCAAACACTTTAGAAGAGCTTATAAGCTCTAAAACTTCTTATAAGCTCATTTTAACATCTTATAAACTTAGCCAAACACCCTCTTAGACCAAACGGTGTTGAGGTCAAATGTTTGAACACTAACGGCGGGTGCCACATTGAAACAATTTTTCAAGTACAAGGGGGTAAATTAATGCAATGAAAGTAGAAGGGAGTAAAGTGATATTGAATCAAAGTACAAGGGAGGAAAATGGAATTTACCAAAAAAAATCGCGGGCCTTTCACATACTACCAACCAAATAAACTCACCCACAGCCCGAGTGGATTAGAGAAACAATCCACCCGAATCAGCCCAACCAACATGGGCCTTAAAATCATTCTTTCAAGATGACCCGGACTCTGCAGTACTGACCCGTTTCAAAAGGATTAACCCGTTTCAATTAACTTGCAAATGAGCCCTTAAAGCACCCACCCCCTATCCCACCAGCTCCCCCTCCCCTACCCCCACCCCCACCCCCA